ATGTCGTACAATTTTTACCAACGGTACCGTGTCGGACGCCATCCGGGCTGCTACGCAAGGAGGGTGGCGGTGGCAGCGCGTAGCATGCCCGGAGCGAGTGAAGGGACTCGCTGGACTGCCGGTAAAAGCACACGACGAACTGCGGCGCGACGAGGTAGAAGGATTGGTGCGCTCTATGGCTTTCATATAGTATCGCAAGAGAATGCAAAGCATGCAGGTACAGTACGGGTTGTGGTGAAACGCGAAGTAGAGACTCCGGAAGGCGTCCTGCCAGTCGCGAAGCCGCTGGCTCACAAAGTCGTCGTCATGACCGCCCTCGGCTTGGTTGGGCAAGCCGGATGCCGGGTGGACGTATTGATGCAGACCCGCGTACCAGCGCTCTTCGGGACGCATCGCTTCCTCATTCTACGTGTCGAGTCCATCACCGTCGCAAAAAGAAAGGGAATAAATGCGCACTGTGGCTCCGGTGTGGAAGCGCTCAAACGATCGGGCGGCGCCAGCCGCGCGAAGCCGTGGCGGGAATGGAAACGATGTCATGCACGAGAGCTTCGTCTTGAGCGTCCAATCCAATGGCAGCTCATCCCGTGTCTACACAGGAGGAGCTCGGTCGTCCAGGAATCAGCGCCATTATGGGACTCGTACCTCGAGCGTCGTAGGGTATTGCACGCCCAACGTGTTGCGAAGAGCGCTTGGCTCGATGCGCGTCTTGGCGTAGATCGACTTCATGCGCGCCTCGACGTCCATGGCTGGCGACTCGGTGAATGTCACGGCTGGCAGCGGCGTCGCGGGCGTCGGCGATGGCGGCTTGGCCGCTGGCTCCGCCTTGAGCCGCTTGGCCAAGCGTTGCCGCTACAAGACTCTTCGTTTACGTGGCGCGTCCTGCAGCAAGACGCGTACCTTGAGCTCCATCGGATTCAGGCGTGGCTTCGGGTCCGCCATCGTGTGATTGCTTGATCTTGGCTCGGGCAAATGTCGATTGAGGCATTTTCCGAAAATAACGAAAAAGGCCAAGTGTCCTGATTTCAAATTAGGATGTTTCGAACGACAACGTTGTCCGCACTACCCTTGCCAGTTTATTACATATATTATTATGTTTGAAAACAATTCAAACCAGCGGGTTGGTTCGCGTTCGGTAAGGACTATGTTAATCTATTGGTTGGGTACTGGGGTACGATACTAGTTCTTCACCCCCGAGTCGGTTAGCTTGACCAATAGTATGTTCTCTTGACGCAAGGTACGAACTTTTTATTCCCTTGTCTTGACGTACTCGTGTACGTACTCTTGACTGGACTCGGCGCTCAAATGTGGTAGCGCGACAGAAAGACCGTCGGTGTCAGACCATTGAGTTTTGAGAGCGTTGCGTTCTTCTGCAGCAATTGCACCCACGACGCGACGACGTGCTTGTTGGCGCAGTGATCGCGGAGGTCGACGACCTGGAGGCCGACGTTCTCGCTTAGCGCGCGACTGAGCGCGAGCATGCCCGCTTCCGAAATGTGCGCGTCACGCCACGACGCCGCGTCACCGTACGCCGCGCGTAAATTGAGTGCGATCAGCGTCTTGTTTTGTGGAAGTGCCTCGGCCAGCGCCAACGCGCCCTTGTCGCCAATGCCATTGCAGCTCAAGTCAACCTTGGTGAGCGCCGTGTGCCGAAGGAGGAGCGTCGCGATGGCGGCGGCGCCGTCGTCGCCGAGCGCGTTTCGGCACAAGTTGAGCACTTGGCAGTGACTGCGAAGGGTATCACACACCACGTTGGCGCCAAACCGCTGCAGATAGTGGCCACTACGTATTGATACATTGATACGTTGATAGTAGACGAGCAGGTCGTACGAGAGATCGAGCACGAGTGGCGTCGCTTCGGCCAATGAAAGCGCGAGCTTCTTGGCGTCGGCAATCGCCGTGATCGTCCGGTTGCCCTCAATACCGTGCTAGTACGTACTGTCATGACAAAGATTGTATTTCGACGAGCAACGGCGTACCATGTTGGCGTCGACGCAAATCGAGGTCAACGCACTGCGCTTATTGTCAAAGGATGCCACGTAAAGGCTTCGCACACCAGCGTCCCCGAGCAGGTTGGACTCGATCTGGAGACTCGTCAGCGTGCTATTAACGAGCAGTGCTTGCGCGAGTCCGACCGCGCCCGCATCTAGTGTTGTTGTATGTATTTACGTCCAAGATATATCGCTGTCATTCGTTGTACCTTCGATCTTGTTGAAACCAAGGTTGAGCGTCGTGAGTTTCGGGTTCATTGCCACGTACAGAGCAATGTCGTATGCGCCTACGACGGCGCGTTGGCGTTTTTCCATAGTCCTCGTTATATATATGTTACCGTGATTGCCAATCGCATTTTTGCTCAAGTCGACGTGCACCAGATGCCGGTAGCTGCGCAAAATGTCCACGCAGGCCTTTGGAATGTATCGTCATGAATGCAATATCAGCTGCAGAGAAGGCAAGGTACATATATATACCTGGCACATGTGGTCACAGATGACCGAGCCAAGATACGTCGAGACGATGGGGCCGCTGAGCTCGAGGCGGTCGCGGACGCCGAGGTCTCTCGGGAGCTGCGATAGTAGCATCTATCCTGCGCTCTCAGAAACACTCACGGGCGACTGATCGACAAAGTACGCTGGCTTGGCGCTGGTGGTCCACGTCGCGCAAGAGAGCCGCGTCGGCGGGGTTGCCATCGAGGCACAGCGCAGCATACGTCCGCGTCGGCCTCGATCGAAGAATGTTGAGAAAGGATGCAAGGCCGTCGTTGCCAATCTAGTCCATAAACGAGTTTGCGTTTGCTTTGGATTGGCCAAAATTCGACAATAAACGATGAAAAAGAGTGAAACACATGACAATTGAGACCTGATTGGCGTCCAGGAAAAGTTCTTGAATGCACGCATTGCGGTCCATCGAGAAGGCGATTGCACTGGCGCCGTGGTCTTGAATGAGGTTGCCCGATAGAATCAGCGTCCGAAGCGCACACGTCGCATCGTTGACGAGCACGTTGGCCAAGGCGAGCGCGCTGCTGTCGGTGAGCTGGTTCATGGCGAGCGAGAGAATCTGGAGGCTCGACTTGCGCACGAGAAGGCTTTGGCAGAGAACGTCGCAGCCAGCGTCCGACAAGTGGCTCGAAGAGAGGTCGAGCGAGACGAGCAGTTTGGCTTGAACAAGTGCGCGCGCACAGCCCTTCCCGAGTCGGTTGAGCGAGAGATCGATAGACGCGAGCTTGGGGCAGCGCAGCACGAGCTTATTCACATGGTCAGCGGCCGTGTCATTGATGCTACGAAGCATCTCAATTGGTAAACATAGTCTGAAACACAAAACTCGTACGCGTTGCTCGAGAGATTGAGTTTCGTCAGCGACGGCAGCTCCGGGTAGTTATCAAATGCCTCGACGAGGCCGCTGGCAAAGCCATTGAACGAGAGGTCGATCGACTGGAGCACCTTGGCGTTGAGCTCGATGACAGCGTGGATGTGACCAGCGTAGTGATCCGTGAGGTGGCAATCCGAGAGATCAAGGGTCTCAATCGACGACGGTGCCTCGGGAAGGTCGTGCAGTGTCTCCTTGACAAGCTCGCGGAGCCGCTTCCGGCACGTCGACTCGGACAGCCGCTCTTGAGGAATCGCACCCATCAGACCGTTTCAAGATCACCTCCAAGCGGTTCTTGAGACGACCTGTTCCATTCTATTCCAGCACAGGTATATAGCAACTACCATGTACTAGGGAGATTGACAAGTGAGCTGAAAGATGAGAGAACTGAGCTCGTTCGTTGCATACTGGAGAGGGCAAGAGTATAGTCGATATTATAATGTGGTAATATATATGCGGGTGCTCACTCGTTGAGATCACTGGCGACGCTACGCGCCGTCGTGCCGTCGGGCACAAACCGCCGGGTGGAATGCTGCGACCCGTTGGCGTCCAGCGAAACGTTGGAAGCAACGACGCCATCGCTGTCTTGGACGCTATTCCGCTTGAAAAGCTCGACGCGCATCGTGGCGATCTCCCGCGCTGTGCCGGTGCGGTTCGGCTCTTCGTCGTCGGGCGACGAGTACGCAAAGCCCGAATACGTCGCGCTACCAGGATACTGCCTAATGGGTT